TAAGAAAATCAAAAGTCAACTCTTAATCTTATATTTCTTTGAAAAAGGCTATTAAGATGGACAAATATGTTTAAACACACATTTAAGCTCTTTAAACCATTTAGAAAAGCTTTATATCACAATTTGAAATTGTCTAAATGGTTTTTATGCCCATGTATGTTTGAAAATAATATTTGATCTTTTAAGCTCTAAAATCCCTTAAAACTTGCATGTAGCACTTATGAGAAATTGAAACCATTGCAAGTTATCTAGTTTTTTTTTTATTTAAGCAAGTTTAAATCATTGAATTCTAGATATTCAAATTCATTTTATTATTAAAAACTAGCTAAAACAAAATTTCATATTTTAAAGCTTGACTCTAGTAAAAATTATTTTTAAAGTAAAACATAAAGTCTAAAAATTAAATTGTGAATGCTCACCCTAAGTTTGTGTATAAATATTAAAAAAATTAAACACATAACTAATCACACCAAGCATAAAAAAAAAATCATCAACAAAATTATGCTTAAGCAATTTAAGACCATAATCAATTTCAACAAGCATTTCAAACATACTTAAAAGCAAAATAAATGCATATTCAATTCAAGCTCACATTTTCTCAAGATTATGCAACATATGTCTTGTAATCAATATCAACCAAATTTTGCATAATTAATCAAGCATTCAAATTTCATCAAGAATAGGTAACCAAATTCAAATTCTCTTCAAATAAAAATTTAGAGGTTACCTATCTTTATTGTGTGTTTAGAGTATTCAATCTGCAATCTCACATTGTAGTTCCTTGTTCTAGCATACCTATAAGAGACAATCTTATTTGATTTTTGGTACCCAAATTGTTTTAAGTCCTTGAAAGTTAATAACCAAGTCTCTAGTTCTTTTTGGAACCCACATTTGTCTAATTCTAAATAGAACTTTTCTCTTTATAGAACAAGTATATATAGTATGACCATAAAAATTACAAAAATTACATTTAATCATTTTAGCACTTAAACTTTTATCTAAAAACTCTTGTTTTTCATTCATCAAAACAATAAATTTCTTTTTCAAATCAAATTTTTTTTTCTAAAATTTCATACCTAATTTGAGAGGTTTTTAAATCTATTTTCACATTTTCTTTTTCTTTTTTTAAAATATTTTTTACATTCATAAAAAATTTATTCTTTACATTCAACTTTGATTTTGTTGTATTTCATTCTCATTGACTCAAATTTCATAACTAACTCATCAAAGGTATCTTACAATTTATCAAAAGCTTATGGATTTGAGTCAATAGAACTAGAGGTTATCTTAGGCTCTTCAAGAGCCATGAGACATGATGTATTTTGATTAAAATTTATCTTTCATGTAGCTTATCTAACTTCCTCTATATTCATTTGAAGTGGAGCAATTTGAGACCAAGTTGAAGTTGTGAGAGTCAAGAGCTCTATAAAGTAAGCATTTTACCTTGGTATCATTTACTTGCCTCATATAATTTGCATTATTTGAAGGAATTCTAAGCCTATTTTCTACCACATTCCAAGTTTAAAATCTTGAGCTACTATGAACATTTTTATCTTCTTTCTTTATTCACAAAATTTAAATTTATCAAACATAAGAGCTTTGAGGACTTTCTCATCATCTTGAAACCTAAGTTGAGCTATAAGATCTTTACTTAAGGTGGTTAAACCTACAAAAAGAGACTAAAGCTTTGATACCAATTATTAGCTTTATAGGTGAGATAGTGATCCAAGAAAGGGTGAATTGGATTTCTTTAAATTATTCTCAAACAATGATTTCAAAGTAATTGAATGAAAAATTAAAAATAATATCAAAATATGATACAAATAACAATAAATCGATAATCTTAAACCAAATGCAAGGTAAAGAGATAGGAATAAAGAAATTAAACACAATGATTTATAGAGGTTCAATCTTTCTCTACAAGGCACCTACGTCCTCTCTCTTGGTTATCCACACCAAGGCTTCAATCTAGTATTCTTGAATTGAAATTATAACCATATCTTTTTCTTTCTAAGGCTTAAGATAAAAACCTTATATTTTCTAGTTTCTAGGCTAAGTAGTAACCTTTCAATCCCACAAATTCAAGAGGATGCCTCACCTTTTAATTACAAAATCACTTAATAAATAACAAACTTAAAACACATCTCAAATCTAAGTGTTTGCCTAATGAAGTACAAAAAAATTTGATGAATAAATCAACAATAATGATTTGGATATAACAAATACAAAAATATAGACTTTAAAACTCTAAAACTCTTAATTTCTTTGAGAGAATGAATATATGGCTTATTTGATCTTGCTCTCTTAATTCATCAACCTTCTTGATGTGTTGGAGTGGTCAATATATAGAGAAATTGAAGAGCAAGCTATTAGGGATACTTAGGAGAAGAAAATAGCCATTAAAAACTTGAGAAACTAGCCGTTGTGCATATCCTGGGCATGACCCGATCGATCCTTTCTATGAGTGGATCGATTGGTTCATATTTTATGCCATTCACATTTTACAAATAACACTATCCGATTAATCCTTTTATTTAAGAGACCAATTGGTTCAAGGGGGTGATCAATCCCCTACATAGGTGATTAATCCCTTCTTACCTTTTTAACACAAAAATTACTTCTATAAGAAAAATCAATCGATCCCTTCCCTGAGGGGATCGATCTTATCCATCTAGATAAATATTTTCTATTTTGCACTCTACTCACTAATTTGATTTATCTTAGGTTATACAAATCCAAATCACAAATCGTTTGAAAATTTAGAAACTAGACTTAAAGGTTTTTTATCTATATAAAATTTATCACCTAATTCATTATGTGCAAATTATAGTGAATTTTTAAATCTACCTTTTGTGTAGTTTTTAGATAACTACAAAGTGTTTAGTAAAAATTCAAAATCTTTTCTTAAAAAATTTGGATTTTGATTTTGTTTAATCCATTAGAAAGTAGACTTAAAGATCTTTCCAACCATATAAAATTCAAATATTAAAACTTTGTGAATTAATACAAAAAAATAAAACAAGTTCAATGTTGGAAAACTTTATTTTTATAAAACAACTTTCTTAAGTTAATCTATTTCTCAAAATCAATATTATAAAAATTGTATTGAGTCCAAAATGAATAAGTTTACTTTAAAAACAATACTTGAACTTTCATTTAAGCTCAAACAAATAATGTTTAAAGATAGTTTTGATATGAGAAATATGAAAACAAAGAAAGGTTTTTTTAAGCTTTGAAAATCATATTATTTATTTAATACCAAAATATAAAACTTAAGAGCATGTATTAAATAAATCTTTTTCAAAATCTTGATTAAGCTTATTTAGCTTAATGTTTTGTTATTTCAAAATAAAGATCAATTCAAGGCTAACACCCGTTAAATTGTTATAAGTCGATAACGTTTAATCTTTATTTGTTTAAAGTAAAACATTTAGTCTTAAATTGAGCAATCATCCAAACATTTTCTTCCAAATTGAACATTTAGCCTTCTTTTATTCTTTTGGCATTTTAACTTAAACAAAAAAAAATACTTAACTTAATAAATACATCTCTAACTTAAACAAAAAAGTACACTAAAAAAAACAAATCTCTAATTTTATTAAATAATAAAATTATTGTTGTAGTCTCATTAAATGATTTAAATAGGTATCAATATCTATCTATATATATTAAAACTATCCCTTATAGGATAGTTTTTTTACATTTGTCCAAATACTAAATTATTATTGCCCATCTAATTTTATAACATTATTATTTTATTTTTTAGTTAAAATAAATAAAACTAAAATTAAAATATCTATAATCTATAATTATCCATTAAAAGGATCTTAAAGGGGCTTTAAATGACATCTATTTATGAAATGATCATTTTACCCCTTTCAATATTATAAACTAACTATTTTACCTTTTAATCAAAATAATATAATTAAAATGTTATTAATAAAAAATTAAAAATATTTTAAAAGAATTTTCAAGAGATTATATTTTGACACCTTTTTAATATTGTAAAATGATCATTTTACCCTTTCTAATATATAAAATGGCCATTTTACCTCAAAAAATAATTCTTTTGGAAATTTTTAAATATATTTTAAATATTTTATTATTAACATTTTTAATTATATTATTTTGATTTAAGAATAAAATAGTGTGTTTATAATATTAAAAAAGGTAAAATAATTATTTTACAATACTGGACATGTGTCATTTTCTAACCCCTTTGGAGATTTTTTTAATTGAAAGTTATAAATATTTTATTTTATTTTTTAATTTTAACTAATGATAAAATAATAAAGTTATAATATTAGAAGGGTAAAATGATAGTTTAATAATTTGGACAAGTTTAAAAATATATTTTAAAGGATAGTTTTAATATATTGTATAGATAAAATAATTTAAAATGTTAACAATAAAAAATTTAAAATATATTAAATGAATTTGCTAAAAGATTATATTCTGACACCTATCCAACTTTATAAAATGATCATATTACCCTTTTCAACGTTTTAAAATTATCATTTTATTCTTTAATTAAATTAAAATAACTTAAAATATAATAAAAAATTAAAAAAATAAAATTAAAAAAATTAATATACTCAAAGAATACCTAAAGTTATTGTATTACGACCCTTGTTTAGCATTATAAAATAATTATTTTACCCTTTATAACATTGTAAATGATCATTTTATCTTTTAATCAAAATAAAATAACTTAAAATGTAAATAATAAAAATAAAAAATATATAAAAATTTTTCAAAGAGGTTATAATTTGACACCTATTATAAAATGATCATTTTACTTTTTAATGAAAATAAAATAACTTAAAATATAAATAATTTAAAAGAATTTAGAAAAAATTTTAAAAAATCAAATCTGCAAATTTTTTAAAATAAAAAACCTATATCTAAATTCAACAATTTAAAAAAAATAAAAAAGTTATCCTGCAAAGTACTAATAATATTAAAACCAGACAACTTTAAATAGTTTTTATTATAGATTATTAGTGAAGTATTTTAGTTTTCTTGATAAAAATGAAATTTACAGATGATGGGTTTAGCACTTTGTAGCCTTTGTGTCTCTAGCTGGACCAGACCGTCACCAACTGTCATATATGCCGCTCCATCCCATCACTATCAGTCCCTCCTCGATTTTGACGCTTTTTTTTTTTGTTCGCCATAGAATGTTACCGCGTTTACAAATATAAAGCTTCGAGAAACTGACAGGAGAAGAAGAAGACGAAACGAAAAAAGACCTACCCTATATAGTTCTAATTTCTTAGGAAAAACAAGTTTTCTCTATAATATCCTCCGCCCAAAATACAAACCCAAAAAATAAACAAACACAAAAAAAAAAAAAGGATTTTAAAGGCGCTTTTTAGTTTTTGCTGTCAACTGAAACTCTGTTCGTCTCTTGGATCGTTAAAGTTCAAAATTCCCGACGGGTTAGTTACAGTTTGTTTTTTAGATTTTTGTTTGGTTATTCTGAAAACTGAAGGCAAATAACAGGGAAATAGACAGGTAAAATCCAAAATGGAGCTTTGTTTGCTTTACTTCTCTCGATTGAACACCGTTGAGTGCGAGAGTTTGTTTGTTTGTTTATTCATTTGTTGTCTCTTTGCTTTCGTATTTTGGATTTTTCTGTCTAATCTTGAAACAACTGCTTTAAAAAAAATCTTAATTTACGTTATTTTCTTGGAATTTTTTGTGTACTCGATTAAATTTTAAACCAATAATCCCTTCGATGTGCAATCTGAACTTTCTGTTAAAATTAAAATTATATTAATCAATTTGAGTTTTAGCTAAATCTGGTTACTCCTTTTTTTTTTTTTTTTTTGCTTAAGTTACGGATCAAGTCGAAATCTGTAATTTTTGTTTCAGCGGCTGAAAAAGGTATACTTGTGGTTGTAGAGTCAGCTTTGCCATTGTTGGATGATGTGAAGGTCCTATTTGAAAGAGGGACATCCAATTCTGTAGAAATTTCAGAAGCCGAGTGTCCTTTGTTGAAGCAAAGTAACCAACACTGAACTGTGCTTAACAACCATTTCATTTCCTTCTTCTCCTTACGGGGGATACTACTATCACATTTAGATAAACGTTGCCTTTGCATCTCTTGTGTCTATGTACATGATATGGTTCTCTTGGTATCAAGACAAGATTGATTTTAGTGGAGTAGCACTTGATTTCTCTTCTGCACCACTTGCCGACTAGGTTTTGAGGTTCCTTCACTGTTATTTGCAAGAGCAAAGATTTCTTGATTTATTAGGCATCTAGGTTGGGTCCCTTCTGGTTAGTTTCATCCCTGTATCAGGACCTCTGAGTTATGATTTCTGTGAAACTATCCGTCCTTTACTTCTTTATTATATTATAGAGATATTGCACATTCACTCAACAAATGTCTTTCTACACCCCCAGAAAATATCATGTTACAATTAGTGTGTAGAAGCATAGGAAGAACAAAGGCCTTTTTTTTTTTCTTGTTTCTCCATATTAACCCTCTTTGTACTAGAAATTATGATTTTTGCTCCTTTACAAAGTTATATGTTATAAAATTCTATGAGATATTCTTATATTATCTGACCTTTAGTTCCTGCAAAATTAGCATTTTGCGTAGTTGTTGTTGTTGTTGACTGCTCAAGTTCATGATCCTTGTTTTCTGTCTTGGAAATTATAGTCTTTACTTTATTCTTGTATCATCATTTGTTTTATCAACTGCACATCAATTTCCTTTTGTTTTATGAATTAACTTTTTCATATTTTTAAAAATCAGAGAAAATGCCAGAAATACAGTTGGGTGCTCACACTGTAAGGTCCCATGGGGTTAAAGTTGCAAGGATTCACATGCATGACTGGCTCATTCTTTTGCTTCTCATTGTGATAGATGTCATTTTAAATGTTATAGAACCATTTCACCGCTTTGTGGGAGAGGATATGATGACAGACCTGACATACCCCTTGAAAGACAATACTGTTCCCTTTTGGGCTGTTCCTGTATGTTCTAGCTTTGAGATATACTGCCATACTGGAATTACTTTTGCAAGAGAGTTTGTTCAGGTTCATTCAATGACGACAGTAAAGTATAATGCTTATGTTCTTCATGTAACAGATGATTGCAATAATACTGCCATTTTTGGTCATTCTTGTCTACTATTTCATTAGAAGGGATGTTTATGATCTACACCATGCCATACTGGGTAACACTACTCCCTTGAGATTCTGAAAGTTCATCTCCTTTTGTCTTTGTGTAATTGCATCTAGTAACAGCTGGTTTGTTGCATTAATATTCAGGTCTTCTATTTTCTGTACTTATCGCTGGTGTTATAACTGATGCTATTAAAGATGCTGTTGGTAGACCTCGTCCAGACTTCTTTTGGCGTTGTTTCCCTGATGGAAAAGGCGTTAGCCTCCTATTCTCCCTAATCTTTTTTTTATTTCTTTTTGTGAATTTAAGTTTACATACGCAAGAATCTTGATTACTCATGTACTTTTTTCAACTTTCAATTGTTGCATCATACATGCAGGTATTTGACCCTGTGACAAAGGATGTTATTTGTACTGGATTAAAGAGTGTCATTAAGGAAGGACATAAAAGTTTCCCCAGTGGCCACACTTCGTGTAAGCTTTCTAATTATTTCCAGCATTATGTTTTTTTTGCTTGGTCCTCCAGGTGTAATGTAGCATTTTATGTTTAGATTCCATGTAATATATGTATGTGTGTTGCACTAACCTCCTACCTTCAGGTAGAATTTGGTTTTATTTTTCTTAGGAAAACATATCTATATTTTCCCTATTTTGAGATTATAATAAGCTTAAAACCTCATTGGTCAACCATCGTTACCTTCCTCTCTTTTTTCTTTCTTTTTTCTTGAATTTTTAAAACTCCCTGTCTATTTTCTGAAGAGTATGCCCCAGCAATGTCCAAACTGATTTTAAGGTTTTTTTTTTTTTTTAAATTACCTTGAAACATTTTAATTTTTATTCAACAATGCTCCCATTCCCCTGTAAACCATTTAGGGAATTCAAAAAAGAAGAGCATTAAAATTCTTCGTTCTTATATGTTTATAGTAGTTGAGATTAATGTTTTAGATCTTTAAATTTGAAGAATTGAATTGAAGAACAACAGCATGACCTTTTTGCACTCTCAAGTTGATTACATGGACATGGGTCTTATTGAAGATATCCTCAGTGAGCCTTTGATTGTTTCCCTCCTTGTCTTCTTCAGTCTATCCCCACCCATATTGAACAAACTGCTCTTATAAGTCCTATTTTCTTAAGCACTACCTGTAAACTTTCTCTTAACAATACCCTTAACCGGCTTCAGCCTGTCTCCCTCATTTTGTCATCAATTGGTGTGCCCCTGCATTTTCTTGAATGCACTTACTTTTAATGGAGATTTGTCTTTATCTCTTTCAACATGGTTGTACTTTATCAATTACCAAAGATTGAAAACATAATGCTATTTTTATTTATATTTATTTATTATTATTATTATTATTATTATTATTTTGTTTTGGAGATGAAAGCATAGTGCTATTTAGAGAAATAGACTAAATAGTTGATAATACCAAAGTGAAAAGAAGATTTTGTGTAGTATGTATGTTCATTATGATCACAAGATAGCTTGTGCCATGGTGAAATTGGATGATAATGATTGGATTTTATTGGGAGTATAGCTAAGTTCCTAGAATGCTAACGTTTCAATGGAGCAAAGTTGAGTTGAACTTTTCACATTTGTCCTGGAAAGGATATTGTATGAGGTTTCAGTGCTATTACATGACATTTTTATTCTTATTCTTGTTTTTACTTGTTTTCTTCTGTTTATCTGTTAATTTATTCTTGGGTATGCTTGAAAGTGTGCTGGTTTAAATATGATTTCTCCTGTTTCTTATTTATTTGCATTTATTTGCCTTGAGTTTATTGTAAAACTAGAAAAATGACTTTGGAGGAACTTTGTTCTTCAACATGCAGGGTCCTTTGCAGGTCTTGGTTTTCTTGCATTGTACTTGTCTGGAAAAATTCGTGTATTTGATCGCAGAGGCCACGTGGCAAAGCTATGTATTGTCTTCCTACCGTTGCTTGTAGCTGCTTTAGTGGGAATATCTCGAGTTGATGACTATTGGCATCACTGGCAAGATGTTTTCGCTGGTGGTCTTTTAGGTTTGTCTTTTGGCATTTCCTTTTTTCTTTTTATTAATTTTCTCTTTGTATTCCATACTACTTGCAATAAGTCACCTTCCCTTTGTGTGGTTATTTCTTTTTACAGGGATAACAGTTTCATCATTTTGTTACTTGCAATTCTTTCCACCCCCATATGATGTAAATGGTATGTTCCTCAGGGCACTTTTCTCGAATTTTGTTACTCTATGACTATTTGCCCCCATTCTATATGACCTTTTGACTACCTATACTTCTGGATAATTATTCATAAATTGACATTGTAACATGTAGTCCATAGGAATCTGATGAGTGTAAAGTCACGTCCCTCATTACACCTTTCAAGTACTGCTTTCTTTCCAGCCTTATAATATTTATGCACTGCTGGATTGGATATTTCTGCTGTTTTGTTTTTGTCTAATGTGGACAATGTCTAGTTTGCTTCTGAATTTAGGATTTCAGTGTAGTTATGTCATTTCTTAGCTCAAGAGAGCTTCATATCAGTGCCTCCCTTTGCAAGGATTTTTGGTGGAAATTATAGTTAGTTGTATTTTGACTTGGTGATACATTAAAATGGTGAAAGGACAATTAAATATCATTTCCCCAGCTCCTGGATAATGCAGCGGGATGTAAATAAGATATTTGTCTTCTCGTCTGTCAGGAAGAAAGGGGAAAATAAGGAGGAAGAGGAGTAGGGTCAGGAGGGAGAGAGCTAGGGAAAGTTGGCAACATGAAGAAACCTGTATATGCTTCCATTACCTACTTGTTTTACAACCAAACATAAATGCTAAAAATTAGGTTACAAGTAGTTTCCATTTGTTTGCTGCCATCGGGTTCTTCACATTATGACACCATTCAGCTTGTAAGAATTTTCAACTGTCATTGTCCTTGAACTACCCTTTAGAGTATGCAGACATAAAAAAAAAAGAAAAGAAATCATAGAATGAAACTTCATATTCTAATTACATTTAAAATGTTCATTTCTGAGTTTCTTATTTCTTCGTAATGGACCATGCAGGCTGGGGACCTCATGCATATTTTCAGATGTTGGCAGAGTCTCAAAATGGCAATCCATCCAACACCATCAATGGTTCAAATGTACAACAATTAGAGCTTGAGAGTGTATATGTCGATTCGCAGCATGGCAGGGAACTATCAAGAGCCAACACTTACGACTCTAGCCCTATTCTTGACGGAACCAACGGCCTGAGGAGATATTGATTTACTGAATTTTGCGTAAATAAGAGTAGACATAATCAACTACAGATGTCCATAGTGTTTGAGAATTTAGTACATTATTATGCTCTTAAACATGTTAGTTAGATATTGAATATGGATTTGCTTTTTCTCCGTGAATTCAAATTTGTTAATTGATTTTCAAGATTGTTTGTTTATGTGGTTATAAGAGACCATCTGCCCTTTATTTTCAAATTTATTCGTTATTCGGTACCGTTTTTGTATGAAGAGATCATCCAAGTATGATTGATAGAGAGTTGTTAGTAGATCATGTTACTAATGATTTTAAAAATTTTATAGTGAAATATTTAATATGATATTTGAATTTAAAAATTTTTAATGTGTTATTTAAATTATAAATTTATTAATTAATGTAAAATATATTTTTATAATAATTTAAAATAATGATAAATGATGGATAAATAGTTCTATAAATATTATATTAATTAATAAAGTTATAATTTACGTATTATATTAAAAAATTTTAAAATTTAGATGTTATATTGGAAATTTTATTGTAGGTTGGAGATCAAAGTATTTAATGAGTAGCATATTTTCTCTCATTTCGTAGGTTTTTTCATTTTTTTCTCTTCCCAATTCCTCTTATTTTTAGATAATATACAGAAAAAGCTATATTTAATATATATATAAACGTTTTATATAAAAGAATATTTATATTAAAGAAGTTTAAATTTTTAATAAACGTGTAATTGTTGGCAACTATACAATAATTGTTAATTATGAGTTGAAAGAAAAAGTTAAATTTAATCCTTACAAAATTTGAAAAAAGAAGTTATTCTACTTATAATTCTATTTTTTTAATTAAAAAATGTAAAATTTTTCTACTTTTATCTTTCCCCTTTTGTTTTTTATTTCACGAACTTCTTATAAATTATATTATAAATTAAGAAGCATTTTATCTACAATCATTATAATATAATTAATCAATTACAATTCAAAATTAAATGAAATTAGTCAAAAACTTATACAAAACTTATACTTATAAATAATAGATCTTATATAATTTTTATTATAATTAAACATTTGTACAATTATAATAAAAAAATATGTGATATACTGGCTACAAACAATAAAAAGTAAAGTAGATGTTTGTCAGGAAACATTAGCTTAGTTTATTTGCCGTATTTTCTATTCATGATCTTAATTAAAAAAAAAAAAAAACATGAAACCATATGGAAGAAAATGAAAGACAGAATTGAGATTTAATTCTGCAGTCGTAAAGAATCTATGCATATATTTTTCATTTCCCTCATACGCTTAATAACTAAGAAAAAGTCTTAGGCTTTTGTGCTAGTGTAAGAACCAAGCGTACAACAACTAGACACCATTAGATACTTTTTAACTTTGTATTTAATATATTTTGGACTGTTTTTACTACAATATAATATTTATTTATTAAATTTGTTGTATTGATGATGCATCTGACTATGTCCATATATATATATATATATACACATTCTTTTCTTTTTATATTTTTGTTAAATGGGAGGATCAACTAACATTATTTTTTTTAAGCATCGATTTTAATAAATTCAAAAATAAAAGAGAATAAGTTAAAAAATTTAATTTTATTCATTAAATTACTCTCACCTATCATTTTTTTAGTTGTGCGAAAAAGACCGGTAGTCTTCTTCCTTTAATTTGTATCACATTCATTTTTTTTTCTTATATTTTCACTGTTAAATTATAAGGCGTGGAAGTTCGAAGATAGAGCTCGGATAAATAAGTCACAATCGATATCGATCAACTTCATTTGTTTAATGTTTTTTTAAGCTTTCTAAGATTTGAAATTGTAAAACTTTGATAAACGCTTGGAGACATTTTGCATATTCCAATTATTCAACCTCTCCGACAACAATAAAGCATATATTCTAAATAGTCATTTTGTTAAAAAAAAAAAAAAAAAGTAGTAACAGTTTTGTATACTTTTATTTGTTTTCATTAAGAGATTAAAGAATATGATATGCAACTTTGTCTAATTATGACCTTGCTTCTTTGGCATTATTAATCTATAATCTATAATACATTATCTACAATCTAATATATATATATAAGTACGAATATGTTGAATCTATTAAATTGATTAAAATGAATATTGCTCTTCTTTATATTTCTAAATTATCATTTTAAATAAGAACATATTAGATGGGGATTGAGAGAGAGAGAGAGAAAGAGGAAGAGGGGCAAAGGAAAGACAAGGAAGAAAAATAAAAAAGAAAACCAAATACTTAGACGCCAGTTACACTCGCCCTCTGACGTTTTCTCACGTACTAGAGGACTGCTCCCTCCTGTACCAGGCAAGGCAATAGAGACTATCGGAGAGAGAGTAAGTAAAGTTCTCTTGGATATCATAGAAGAGGCATTTCCTCCTTGCTCCAATTGTGTCGTATGGACCCCGGTGTCAAATAGCGGATTTCTCGGAATTAATTAGGGGGTTTCCTCCTTCATATTGTAATAAACGAATTTTATTATCATAGATCTATTACAATGCATGAATTCCAGCGTCTGCACTCTGTAATTTATCAGTACAAACTTCATGTGTTACACATTTCCCTCAAAAAAAAAAAATCATCTGAAATAAAGAACCTATTATTAATTAGAGGTATTTTAGAAAAATCAAAGTTGCCATTAAAATATGCCCCTGTTGCTAGCCCCAACCCTGAAAAAGGCATTTGCAAAACACCTTACATATACTTGAACAAAAATATGTACATGACATAATAGTGATCGGATAACTCCAAATAAACTAGCTGAAATAGAGGAGCCAGCCACATATATCGACCGTCACAATTGAATTGCTCAGAAAATTTGAGAATAATCATATGATATTGCATCCGGTCATGACTGGCTTGCTTGATTAAAATTTTCAAATTCAAACTAACAACATGACAAGAAAGGCTTCAAAATACCAATTAAACAATTCCTAATTCTATTACTAACAAAACAATGAAATTTACGAGGTTAATTTAATATAAGAAATTTTGAAACTGCTCTTCTATATTCCTTTCTGTTTGAGATTTGCTTAAATCAATACAATTTTTTTCATGGATTAACACTAAAACTCAAAAAAAAAAAAAAATCATCAAATCAACCCAACGTAGAATCTGAGAAAAAAAAGGCTCTACTCAGATTTTTTGTCTAAAATTTCGTTTATTTCGCAAAAAATAACTTTCAAAAAATGATTTTTACCGTTGGAGATAGTGGATCACCGGCAGAAAACCCACCCTTTCTCAGCCCTCAGAAGACAATCCTCAATCTATTCTCTCCCTTGATGTGTTCTAGCACACACTGTGTGATGGTGGGAAGAACCTCGGGTCCATGAATATGAGTTCCTCAGCAGTATCTAGAATGGTGAAGAAACCAGGCTATCAACTCCAACAATAATAATCGTTAGAACAACGATGCAAATAACCAAGTTAGCATCCATGTTCATTTATTTTTGAATGAAACAGCAAGTCTGATTGAGAGAGAGAGAGTGAAGAGTGAGAGCAATTGAAACTTGAGAGAGTAAAGAAGAGAATGAAATGATTGAATTTTTTGTGAGTGCAAAGGAGAAAGAAGAAGTCCTGAATGGAAGAAGAAGACGATGATGTGGAATAAAGTGTTGATATGAAAGTTAATTGACTCAAAGTATCTTTTATGTGGCATAAAGTTTAGAAGTATCCGATTTAGGTAATTGAGATTAAAGATTACCTTAGCTTAGGAAAAAAACTCTCCAAACTTTTGCTAAGAATGTGGGAAGTTAGGACAAACTTAAGTTGACTGTGCAATGAAAGAAGAGGAGGGACAAAATCTGAACATTCAATGCCTAGTTAAACAATATGGACATTGGTTTCGAGCATCACCAATAAAGCACAGAGGAATAAGAGCGTCAACTGAAAAACAGGGGAAGTTTATGGCAGTTCCGAAAAATAAAGAAACGATGGGTGCTGATCAATATGGTGAATCACAATTGACTGAAAGGGACGTTGATAGGGCTGACCAGGAAACATGAGCATGGTGGTGAAGAAAGCTAATTTGGCAGGTAGTATGAATTTGGAAAGGAATGTAATTGAAGCTGAAAACCAGGAAAGTTACAATCAAATCACTGGCACGTTCAAAAGAGTTAGATTTTATGATGGAAGGGAACACAAGGGAGGCAATGAATGGGGGAAATCATGAATCACGAAAAAATGGGCTTGAAAGTGTAAAAAAAGAAGGGAATAGACCAATTAATGGGGTCAATGTGAACAATGAGGAAAGTAATTTGATGGAAAAGAACAAAGAAAAAATAGTGGCTGGTGTAGAGGAATCTGAGATCTTGAAAGGGCAAGATAGTAGCAATGTAGGAAAGGCCCACGTTAAAGGAGCAGATGAAGGAATACATGACACATGCAGAATTAAAAAAACGCATGTGAAATGGAAGAAAATTGCTCGCTAAGTGGCAACGCCACGTAACACCAGTAAGAGTGTAGGAAAAAGAAAGAATATGGGGTTGACAGACTAGGTTGATTTAAAAGAGGTGGATGTGATAGAAAGGGCTTAAAGGAGATGGAGATGATGAACTTCAGACAATATTTTTAAGGGCGGAGATTGGTTTCCAGTCTCGCCGATCACCATGAAAACTCTAGCTCGAAACTACCATGGGCTTGTGAACCCACGGACAATTCGAGCTTTGGGCAAGCTCATTCAAACTTGTTTTTATGTGAAACAAAGTTACCAACGAAGCTTGATGGAGTACGTAGAAAATGCAACATGGCCAATTGTTTTGTAGTTGATACTAAATAGAAGTGGCGGGCAAGTTTTGATGTGGAGGGATGAAGTGATCTTGCAATTAAGAGCTTTCTCAAAATACCATATTGATATGGAATTTTTAGAGAATAATCAACCTAAGTGGAGATTAACGGGTTTTTTATGGGAGTTTGAAGCTAGTAGGATAAGAATATCATGGGTGATTCTTAAAGGGCTAGAAGGCCAGTCTCAAATACCATGGGTGTGCTTAGGAGATTTCAACGAAATTCTTCATAACAATGAGAAGAGTGAGAACTGCTTGCCATCAGAGACACGGATTGAGGTTTTTAGGGAGGCAATGAATGACTATAATTTGTTAGACTTGGGCTTTAAAGGAACTTGGCACATGGGTTTTTTATGGGAGT